TTATTTTGCATCTATTTAGCAAAAGTTCAAGCTAAACAGATCATTTATCAGATGAGCTTATCTGATGAGACCAGATATTAGTACAACTGAATAAGATGCCTCAAAATTTAATGCATGAGTCATATTTCCAGAAAAAAGTTTAGCTAATGCTTTGGTAACTTCTTTCTATAAGATAATGCTTTAAAATACTTTTATATGGATGATCGCTGAATACTTAATTTATTATTCTGAAATTCTCTCCTTGACCCAGGTTTTAAGGAAAATTGACATTTAAATCTTAGTGACTGGAAAGTGGAACTGACCCATTACAGTGGGTTGTTCTTAAAGCTTGGGATTAGAAGAGATTACCATGGATCCTTCCTGGTTGTGAATCACATCACAACACACGAATGATTCAATCTTCTCTTTACTTCAAATACCTAGCAAGTATAACCCTTTTCTTTCCCCTCTGTTGAGTTTTCACAGGTAACGTTTAGTGCTATCTCTCATTCCTGTCCCTCTGTCCATCCACTGCAAACCATTGCAATCTGATTTCTCTCCACTTCGTTGAAAGTGCTTTGGCAAAGGATGATGACTTCAAAATTGTTAAGTCCAACAAGATACTTTTATACCTTTTTTTACTCTGCTGCTTTAGACATTATTGCTACATTCTCCTTCTTTAAACTTATAAAACAGTAAACATACTTCTTCTGTGTCAATATCCTTACCTTGTTCTTTTCCTCTCTCACTGATTGGTTCTTATTTGAGAGTTTTCATTATCTTTTATACCTTAATTTCATCCATTCTTACACACTTAAGCAGAAAATCTTTGAGCTCTATTTTCAAAATGTATCCAGGATACTACATTTTTTTTTACCACTCTAAACTGTAATAATTGTTTTCTTAAATAATAGTGTAGCTTCCTAATTCATTTTTCTGTTTTTTTTTTCCCTTGCCCCATAAGTAGGTTCTGCAGATAGCCAGAGTAGGTCTATTATAACTTAAATCATATTACTTTTCCAATCTAAACTTCTAATGGTTTCTAATATTATTCAGAGTGAAAGCTGAAGTTCACATAATGGCCATTAAGGCTCTACTTGATTTGGCCCCTTGTTATCTCCCTGATATCACTTCCTTCCACTCTTCTTCCTGATTAATATTCTTCATTTGTATCAGTTCCTTATTGTTCCTCAAACATACTGCTTAGACTCTACCTCAGGGCTTTCGAATTTGCTGTTTCTTCTTAACAGAAAACTATTTCCTAAAACATTCATGTGATGCACCGTCTCACTTAAGATCTCTGCTCAAAAAAAATCTTAAAATTGTGGAACTTCCAGGCCACTCTCTATGAAATAATGCTACCTGCTTCCTCCTTTCCTTTTTTGATTTTTCTCATCTTATTATACTATTAATAACTGCCAAATACTTAATCTTGATTTTTCTTCTAAGCTTCTTGATAAACATTTCCACTTAATTATCCCATAGATACCATGAATGCACATGTCCAAACCTGAAGCTCATTGGAAATGCCGGAAATACCCAACTGTTTGTAACCTGGACAAAACCTGTGATTTCATGCTTCTATCCAATTACTCATATTAATTTTTCACCTGTAATACTCTTGCTCACCTGCTCATTTTTACTCACGCTACAAGATCAGATTACATTTCTTCTCGCAGCCTTTTATTAATGTAATTCCCACCCACCAAGTGGTTATTTGTTCCTCCTCTGCTTCCATAACACCTTAAGCTTATCTTTAACCACTGTATGTATTGAATTATAGTGATATGTTTCCTTTAGTTATCTCTCTTCTCTAATAAACTGTAATCTCCTTAAGGATAGAGACTACGCTGTACATATTTTTCTATTCTTAGTACCTCAGTATTGGCAGCGTGGAAGGAACTCTAGGAATCTGTGTTAAACTGATCAGAGTTAAGGTTCCTTAAAGAATGACAGAATGTGGAGGAGCCTTATTAGCCAAAGAGTAAAGAAGAGAGGAGAAACAGTAAGAAAGGAACTTTGTGACTGAGTCTGACTCATCAGGATTAATCTTCATACAATTCCAAAAATTTGAGGACTTGGATATTGGAGGTGGGAGTAGGGGTGGAATAGGGTTGGCGGGGCAGTTCTGCCATTGGCTATGGATATTTTGAGAGAGAAAAGATAATAGAGGTAGAAAAACTGAGCTTTATTCTTTTAGCAGCTTCACAACACAGCACCAGTTGTCTGACTCAGCTTTAACTGTCCTGTTGGGTGGTGGGGGAAGGATCAATCACACAACAGTAAATTCTCGGGAGACCCAGAGTCATCTTGTTAAGAGAAGGAAAGTAGAGAGAAACATCTTGTTTCAGAGAAACACCATGAATAAACACTTTAAAGAACAACACTTGATATATTTTCAACATACAGATAATTGGATAATATGCTTCGTTCGATGCATGGTTCTTTTCTTATCCTTTTCTGACTAATGGCAATTAAGATGTTGAATTGAAATGTATAGTAGAAAATTCAGTGGTTGTTGCCATGGCTAGTAATTACAGAGTCAGAATAGAAATCTCCTGATTCCAAATATTTGGTTTTAAATTTCTCGTTTCTTTAGAAAGAAATGAGTTCAAAGACATGTATTCAAGTGCTGGCTTCTTTTCCTATGACCAGTCAGACCAATTTTCTTGGATTCAGTTTCTTGATCTTTAAAATGAGAGTAATAATGTTTGTTCTACAAAGCTCCCAGGGCTGTTGTGAAGCTCCAATAAAAGCTACAAAGGGAAGAGGTACTGTTTTTAAGGTAATCATAAAAATAGGAGGCCATCTTATTGGTAGATATTAAATCAGTTTCATTTAAATTATATTATTTGATGTTTGGTGTCTTAAAATGACAAACAATATTTAATTTATCCAAGTTAATGTTATTTTGCTATTGTTACTTACAGAATGACTAATATACTGGATAAATTGATTATGACTGAATTGGAACCTGCCTCTAAAACAGTGTCTGCAGGGCCCACACTCAAAAGCCAGTTTGTTACAGATGAGCACATGATCTTTTGTTTCTGCTGGTGGCTTATGCTTCCTGAATGAATTCCAAAAAGAAATCATGTTATATTGATTTCCTATCTGTAGTAGGTTGTTGTGTAGCCAGCTTGGAAGGTATACATGATTGTACCAATTAGTAATATTTGTTAGAGGAAGCAGAATATCTTTATAATAAGTACTTTGCAATTGTTTTTATTTTTTTCAGAAAAACAAATGCTGTGAAAACCTTAATTAGCAATATTAAGAGAATATTTAATGTGGCCCTCCAGTAGATAATTGGAAGTAAGACAAAGTAGAGTCCCTCCTGTTTCCACCATTGATTCCCAATCCTATGTATTCTTCATATGGGAAGACCATATAGGTCACTGATTTAATGCATGCGCTGTGTCCTGAAGTATGCATCATTTTCTTGTAGGCTATTGCTTTTAAGGTAGTGCTTCGGTTTTATCTTCAGTAGGATGTTCCAGTGTTCTGTGAGGCCTGATGCTTCCGGATGGTATACTTCTTTCTCTTGAAAGCGCATATGTTAGTCAGGTGCTATATATTGTATGGAATTCCATGCTTGCAGAATGAACAATCTATAAATCTTCAAATAGTGGTACTGGTTGAAGCACTGTGAGAAGGACTGGCTGGCCTCTGCTCTGTAAAGTTATGAAAACTTTATCTGGTATATATATTTATCCCTATGAGGATTAACTATTGGTGCTTTCAGGATGAAGAGACCCATTATGTCCAGCTGGCCAAGGCTGTCTGGTTGGTTTCCTCAAAGACTAGTGCCATATTATAAAAATCAGTATTTGCTTTTGTTGCTGGCAGATTGCATATTTAAAAGCAGTGACCACTCCCTTCATGTGTACACAGTGTTGTTTCTAGGATGGTCAATGATGAATCCTAGTTAACCTAAACTGACTGAGTTGTTTTCTCTACTTACTTGTTTAGTTCCTCTTCTGTGGTGGGTGCTTTCAGTGAGTGTTATTAATTATATTACTTCCCCCTTATCCACAAAGGATAAGTTCCAGGGCCCCAGTCGATACCTGTGGATAGTACTAAACCCTATATATACCATGTTTTTTCATGTGTATGTGTGTGTACACACACACACACACACTCACACACACATATATATACACACACACACACCCCTCTGATAAAATTTAACGTATATGTTAGGTGTGGGAAGAATTTAGGAACACTAACTAATGATAAAATAAAAGAATTATAACAATATTCCAGGATGACTTCCCTTGTGCTTTGGGGCCATTATTCAGTAAAATAAGGGTTACTTGAATACAAGCACTGTGGTACTGTGTAATCTAATAACCGAGAAAGCTGCAAAATGACTAATGGGAAGGTAGCATAGACAATACAGACCTGCTGGACAAAGGGATGATTCATGTCCTGGGTGAGACTAAGCAGGGTAATGAGGGTTTCGTGATGCAATTTAAACTTGTGAATTGTTTAGTTCTAGAATTTACTATTTATGATTCCCAAACTGCTGTTGACCATGAGTAACTGAAACCATGAGTAACTTTCACATGGAAAGTGAAACTATGGATAGGGGGAGAGTACTATGGCTAACAAAGATTGCCAAATCCTCTCCTTGAACAAAAGAAACAACTATAAAGCTGCATGAACTTATAAAATCAACCCTTTCCACACTGTACGTTGAGGAACAGAATGCAGCAATCTGAGAAACACTTGTGCTTGAAAAATTCATGAAATATGGGTAAAAGTTCTCAAGGTCTATTTGTATGATGACAAAGGGTGATAGAATTAATATAGCTCTGAGGCAAGACTATAAATGAATATCATTGTTTGTCCCACATGAATGCCATACTGCTTCTGATCTTCTTACATGTTTAGTATAGAAAAACAATGCATTATGAACTCACTAGATATCTGAGGTTCCTTAACTATTGTTATCATTAACCTTTTGCATGGTACCATTACAGCTTAGTAATTACCAGCCAGCTTTGCTGTTCTTGCAGGCATTGGCACCTCTCATCACTTCCTCCCTTTATATCCTTCAAATGTATGAAGTGTTGCATTGCAAAGGACTTTGCCCTCTGCTGAGACATTTTCCCAGATAATCAGCAGCAAAATCTTCAAAAATTTGGCCTCCATTTTGTGGAAGCAGCTATCCATATGCCATATTCTACTGAGGATGGAGTCTTCTTTGCCAGCAGGGAGGTAAGTGAGTCATTCTCCAAACTCTTTCTTTCTGGCTGTTGTACCACCTATTTCAGTTCAGGTCCTCCAAGAGGCAGACATCAAGACAGTATTATGTGTGCAAGAGATTTATTGGGGAAGAAGCCCATGAACTATTTAGGGGAGATGAAGGAGGGTGAGAAAGTATGAGAGGTAGGGAGAAACCTTAGGCCATAATGCATCTGTGACACCTGTAAAAAACAGAAATCAGTAAGGAGGATGAGAGAGGAAAAGCTGTGGACTAAAGTTCTGAGAGAGTTCTGTCTAGGCTGATGGGAAGTCTTAGAGCAAAGATTGCTTATTAGAAGAGTCTTCCAATTGCTGTGAGCTGAGATTGCACCACTGCACTCCATCCTGGTGCCTGGTGGCAGAGCAAGACTCTGTCTCAAAAAAAAAAAAAAAAAAAAAAAAAGAGAGAAGAAGAGTCCTCCATGAGAGACAAATGGTCAGGACCTAGCACCTTCTCACTGGAGGGTCAGTTGTTGGCTGGGATCAGGGTGAGGGAAGCATGCCATGACTTTGGTCTCCTGTTGGGGAGCTGAAGGGCAGCAGCTGAAAGCTGTCAGCCAATTATGCTATCTAAGCAGGTTCTCTAGAAGTAAAATCTGTGTGGCATACTTCCATGGCCACTAGGCTTCTCTCAGGGGGCTAGGAAAAGAAAGGGGTAAAGAAGAAATTTATACATTGTTAAATTGTTTTATTTGATATTAAAATAGTGTATTTCTTTTGTGACACAAAAATTAATCATGACAAAAAGGATTAAAAACAGAAGTAAGCATGCATAGATGCATATGCTTTGTCTCCTCTTTCTAGGTTTAGACTAAAGAAAATATAGTTTAAAAAGGAATAAATCCACAGTAGCTCTGGAATACAAGAAGTGAGACTATAAGAAGAAGAGAAAATTGGAGGAATTTCTGATACTGTCATATCCATAGGAAATTATACATAAAAAGACACTTGAGATAGCTAAAAATGGTTTTAGGGATGGCTCCATGTTCCTAGAATGTAGATGAAGCAGCAGGGTCTCTGGGGTCTCCATAGGTCAGTGGTGTTTGATGCTAAGGGGTTAAGAGCTCGTTTTTATGGCCACAGCACTTTCTCTTTATACAGAGTGACACCAGTCATTCAGGCGCTACTGTGCACTTTTGGCCCATGTTTTTATTCAGCGCGTGTCCTTGATCCTGCTCCTGACCAGAGCAGATGCCTTCATCCACTGCTGTACACAAATTTTGTAGCGGGTGTGGCATAGGCAGAAATTACAGTGCCTGGATGAGAGAATATGCCCACATCCAAAAGAAGGGTCTTGGACACTACACTCAGCAGCAAGCAGTCCTTGCCTCCACATCACTTCCCCGATCACTGGAGAAGATGATGCTTTTTTTTTCAGAGCACCACAGACATCTGAATAATGAGATGTTTAAAAGCAAAATTAGATCAACAGGCAACCAAATACTTCCAAACATTTAGTGATAATCAAATCCATGAAAATTAATGAATAACACCAGAAGAAACAAATTAAAGAAAAATAAGATGTTAAGGAAATATAAATAATATTCTTAAAGGGATAAAATAAGTTGATGTGACAATTAAACAATAAAAGATTGTTAAAAATAACGAGTTCATGAAAATAAACTCAACAGGGGCTTAGTGTGGTGGCTCACACCTGTTATCCCAGAACTTTGGGAGGCCGAGGTGGGAAGATTGCTTGAGCCTAGGTGTTCAAGGCCAGCCCTGGAAGTATGGTGAAACCTAGTCTTTACTAAAAGTATGAAAATTAACCAGGTGTGGTGGGCCATGCCGTCATCCCAGCTACTTGGGAAGCTGAAGCGGGAAGTTCACCTGAGCCCAGGAAGTCAAGGCTGTGGTGAGTCGTGATCATACCACTGCACTCCAGCCTGAAAAAGAGTGAAACCCTATCTCAAAAAAAAAAAAAAAAAAAAAGATGAATATATTTAATTAGTGATTAAAGTTGAACAAAGCAGTTCGCCTAGAATTCAGCACAAAAAGATGAAAAGTATTAAAGAATAATTGATGTAGCTTTGAAAAGAGTTGTATTTGTCAACAAAGGTTTCCATAAGGAGAGAACATTGCATGACAGTACCTGTATTTTCATATACTCTCAAATATTGGTTAATCATTAAAATATTTCTTACAAACTCAATAGGTTAAAAATTGTGAATGGTGTTTAATTTGCATTTATATGACTAGTGTTGTTCAGCATCATTTTTATATATAGATATGTGTATGTAATATGTGTATACATCTGTGCATATGTATATATACACATATATATTTGTGAGTGTGTCTATGCATTACCTTGACTACTTTTTCTATAAAATTATTGTTTTTTTCTTCTGATATATTGTATTGACATGTATTGTCTTTGTATGTAAAGGCTAATAGTCCTCTGCCAGTCATATAAACTATAAATATACTATCTTAGTTTATGTTTTTAAAAATTAGCTATGAATATTTTGTCTTCCATAAGACTTTTAAAAAAATTATTCAAATATGTTGATGTTTTCTTTTGTATTCTCTGAGTCTGTTGACTTTCTTAAGTATTCCCTTTCTTCTAACTCTCCAGTCTAAGCTACTTTTTATTTTACTCCTTTATAGCTTTTTCTATTTTAGATCTTAAATCAATTTTAAATGTATGTTTTATATGAATTAAATATTGAATTTTTTCTCATATAAAGGTGTGTGTGTGAATATAAAAAAATGCACATTCTCTTTTTGGTTTTATTGATCACTTTACTAATTTCTAGTATCACGTCATTTTAGTTACCAAAACTTTGTAACTTATTGAGAATGTGATTCCATATTGTTCTCTTCTGAACTGATCTCTGCTATTACATGTCTATGTTCTCTAGAAAACCTTTGGAACTTACGTGTTCAGGTTTCTGTATGAATTATACCTTTTAGTTTTAAAATAAAACACATATACATAAAATCACACACATACAACACATACGTAACTTAATAATCAATTAATATAATGTGAACACTCTTGTAGCCATGACCTGAGTTAAGAAATGGAATTTTGCCTGCCATCCTAGAATCTATCCGTGTGCCCTATCCCAATCTGAATTTTTCCAGTAGTAACCCCTATCTTGATTTTGTACTAATTACTTTCTTGAGTTTCTTTAAAGGTTTATCACTTAAGTGTGCATCCTAAGCTAGAGTCTTACAGATTAGTTGCATATTGCTATGCCTTTTATATCTTTTAATATAGAGGCTCTTTTAATTTTTTTCTTTGGAATTCATTTGTTGAGGAACCTAGATCATTTGACCTACTGATTTTCTAGTCTGGATCTTGGCAATTTCATACTTAAGTGCTATCCAGTTCAACACATTACTCTGCCCTCTGATTTCCTGCCAAGTGACAGTTGGATCCAGAGGCTTGATGGGTTAAGGTTTTATTCCTTTAGCAAACATGTAGGTGGATTTTTCTTTTTTCATCAGAAGGAACAGAATGGCTTGTTTCTCTGAATTTCTGTCTCTCTGTTTTATTGTTATGTTAGCAATTATTGATGCTTAATGTCTTGAATACTCAATTTATTAAAGGTTGCAGAATGATGATAGTGTAATTCTAGTATTCTATTTTCATTTGTCAGCTAGGATAATTTTATGAAGAGGTGCTTTTCCTCATCTACTATGTAGTTACCCAATGGTACAATTCATAAAAGGAAGGCAATATAGATGCAAAATTATTACCCTTAATTTATCACTTTTCAGGATATTGATTGCAGTCAACTTCTGGAAACCCACTGGTGTCTTTTCCCTATCATTATGAACTCATAAATGTGTTTTAATCCATTGGCATTATTATCTTGTTGAAGCTCAGTCTGTCACATCTTTGGCCAGTGAAATCCTCTTCCAATTGGTTCATGAGTGTTTTTAATGTGACTTAAGTCATTTTTGATCACTTAACTTTCTATCTGGTTTGACAGAGTACTTCAGGATTATTTTATACATATCCTGTCTCAGTTCTAGGATCACACTTTCTCCAAGAAATCAAACTCAGGTTTATTTTAGTAAAAAATAAGATTAAAATCTGAATGTTAGAACACTTACCTATTTGGGGATGGTAATTGTTCATAGAATTTTAATAAAATTAAATATATAGAAAGAGCTTGGAAACATACATCCTCACAAAAATATACATTTAAATATACATATCTTCAGAGAATATGCTTCACAAGTTTGTGCTGATAGTTTTAATTCAATCTCAGTACTACAAGGTTTTTACTTAAACTTCCTTAAAAATGTAGAAGAGGATATAAATATTTTATAATTTCTTATTTTCTTTATTCTACATTACACGTGTAACAGTTTCAGAATAACAATACCAATATACCACTCTCAGTATGATTATAGAACACAGTTATGTGATTTTTGCATATGCTATCCTCATTTCTTGTTCATACTTTAGTAGTTAAACTATAGCCACAAGGTCTGAGCATACAACAATTATATACTATATTCTTTCCCTTTTTAAAAACTCATTTATTTTTAGTTCTAAATGTAATTATAATTAAAATGCTCACCATATGTGCTTATGGTGATATTTCTCTAGACATATTGATTGTTAGAATCCTTTATCTGGTAAATTCATCAGCAAGTGTTTAACAGAACATTCTGAATTGTTCAGTGTTGCTAATGATTTGTTTTACATTCTTTATATTTGAAAGTCAGTTTTGCTAGACATAAAGTCCTTGATACACATACTCTGTCACTGAGATTTCCAAATATACTTTCTATTTTCTTCTGGCATAAAGCAATGCTGCCAAAGTTTGATGATAATCTAACTTTCTTTACCTTACAAGACAAATGCTGTTTTAAAAAATTCCCAAAGAAATTTTTTCTTTTAGAGCCCAGGAGTTTTTCTATAGTCTACTTTAGTGATAGTAGTTCTGAGACCAAATTGTCAGGTATATGTATGTGTGCTCTTTTACTATGCAATTTCAAATCATTACTTCAAG